CAGTGTCAAAACCATATTTGAAACGAAAAATTAGTATATTTACTTGTAAAAATAATACTTTAATTGGGAAAAATAGAAATCTACTGCTTCAAAGAGGAAAAAAGGCGAACCTACCCGCCTGCAGCTCAGAATTCGGCGATCTCTCATTCTTAACAGCCATCGGCTCGCTGAGGAGAATGTCTGATTTATTTTCTGCTTTTATCTGTTGAGAAGTATTTACATGTGATCGTTTTTCCTCCATTTCTACGGGAAAACGCTGTTTTTGCTTATTTATGCGGCAGGCCTCGCCAGTAGGATCAATCTTGATTGTTTTCTGCATCAAGCAAGCCTCGCGTTTAAGATCACACTCGCTTTTATAGAAATGACCATCCGTTCCGCAAACTTCAAGCAAGAATTGGCTATTGTCAGTTTGAGGACACTCCGTCCTACAGACACATGCGCCATTGCGGCATTGATATCCCACCGGACAACCCGAAGGACAACCGACTTGGAGCCAAAACGGCATTGACGTAGTGGAAAAAATACAATTAAAGCTTTGAGATAAGATTATATTAAAAATGACGATATATTTGTTCGCCAAAAGAAATGCTGAAATTGGCATGCTTGTAGTCAAGGAAAATATGCATGCTTTGGTGTTTAGGATATGCATTCTTTGGATTCGGTATCCATGCCTTATCGTTTTATATGAAGAAATCAATTTCATTGGTTAACATGTTTTGGAACCAAACAGTAAATAGATATTAATGACATTTGAATATGAGCTAAGAATATGCTTTAGAGGTTTGTGAAAATAAGTTCTACTCTGATAAACGTGCAAATAATGTACTGTATATAAAACATTATGTAATCCCGAAAAAACAGCAAAAATAGGGTAATGTCTGGAATCCTTATCGTCTTGCTATGGCCCCTCATAATTAATAAAATAAATAATCTTACATTTAAGATATTTCAACTTCGGAGGTAGGCTACTTAAATTATAATGCAGTATCAACATCCGCAAATCGGAAAAATCAAGCTGACCAACAAAAAGCATACTTAGGGTTTGTGTAACCTGATGGCTTCAGCATGCCTATCAAAGGAAGATGAAAGAGCCTAAACTTGGTAGTTGCTCTATTTGTCTA